GTGGTTCAGTAATACACATGAAGAAGGGGAAAAAGTATGGTGGGGATCCTCAAATTAAGGAAAATCTTAATTCTACCAACAGAAGCTGAGGTAGAACCATGTTTTTCATCTCCCTGATCAGAAACCAAACCTCAGCTGCAGGAGGAAGAGGGATACACCACAGTTTATGTGGATAACCCTCCTGAAAGCACCATCCAGAACATCCATGAGAACCACTAAGAGGATAGCAAAGACATCATCCAGGTTCCAGGAACAGTGTGTAGGTCCCTAGCTGCTGGAGTTTTCAACCCAGGAAACATTTCTGGAGCTGAAGTTCTGTGGTTATCCCTAAAGTATTCCAGCAAGCCCAAGCACACATCAGCATTGTCCAAGGAGTTTATTCCAGAGCAAATTTGGGATCAGCTGGTGAACACAGCTGGGGCAGATAGAGTTTATCAACTGACATTATGAAGTTTACTTGGTGTACTAAAGCAATTAAATCTCCTGTGAACCAGCCATCTTGTGATCCCACACAAGAAGCAGCAAATAAAGGTGGTTGAAAAAAAAATTAATAAATCAAGACAACTCCCACCAATCTTTTTGTACTTTCATGGTTAGACATCATCCAGTAGATCTACTGGATAAACCCAAATAATTCAGGGGTTCATGGAGAGCCCTTGCCCAAGGTTTACTGTTTCTATGTACTCAGCTGCTATATTCTCCATCACAGTCTCAATTTCATTTTTGTTTAGTTCAAGAAGAGATATTTTGGGTCCAATCCACCTTGGATGCTACACCTGGCCTACTAAGAAACCCAGCATGATCTTGTAAGTCAGCGACTCTTCCTAAATGGACTAAGTAAGAACTCACGGGAGCTCCAAGAGGAATTTTCAAGAGCTTGATGTGCTGAAGACTGGCCAGTTACTGTGAGCAGTGTCCACTGCAGTCACAGAGGGTCTGCATTGATACCTCTGTGTGGCTTAGGAGCAGATGTGACTCAGGCCATGGCTACAAGGTCCCAGGGCTGAGTCACACAGAGACAACCCCACACTGGGAACCTGTACAAGGTCAGAAGGACAGGAGCCCCTGCCAGCCACCATCCTGTCCTGAGCCCATGGAGCTCCAGGAAGGAAGCCCTGCTCATGAGTGAGGCTGCCTGCAATCCCCAGCACCACTGCAGTCCCCCAGTGCTCTGCAGGCACCCTGAGGCTGGGCACCATTCGATGTGCCTGCACAAGAGCATCAGTGCTGCCATGGGATGCCAACAGCTAATGACTGCACCATCCACCTCAGCACTGGGAATGGCTCTGCAAAGCCATCCCCAGCCCCCCTGGGAAGTGCTACTACAGCAGCTCGCACTCCTTGGTCCCCTCCCACCATCACAGATGGCCTGCCCAGCGCTCCTCCTGGAGAAGCCTTTCCACCTTCACCACCCTTTTGTCTGTGTACACTGCGAGCAGAAAGCAGCTAATCATCCCTGCTCTGCTTCCTGGGGACTCTCCAGACAGGCTGCATTGGTGTTACTGCCCCTTTTCCAAAGGTGATCCTGCTGTCTGTGTGAAGCCCTGCTCTCAGCACTGACAACTGATGTGGGGGATGATAACCTGCCCAGCTGGTGACCATCACGGGAGAAGCCCACATACCCTGTGCCAGGGAGGGCCTGCAATCCCCCATCCTCACGCTCCTCCTCCACCCACAATGGCCATTTACTGCACCAAGCTGTGCTGTCTGAAGCTTGGAGCAGCCATCTGCTTCCCAGCATCTCCAACAGTCCCCCCTTCACACCCACACCTGGTGGTCCTTGCATGCAGCACAGCCACAGCCCTGCTGCAGAGGTTGGGCCCCCCAAAGTCGAGCAGTGCTCCCCTCACAGGGGACACCCCAACCTACACCACCCATAGGTGCAGTGCAGTAATTTTCCCCACACACTTTGAAAAGATCACTTATTTCCTGCACAAGTTATTGCAATCATTTTGTTCATTCACCTGCACATCCCCTCCATGTAAGGTCTGTGTGGAGGCACGTGCTGAGCTCCCTGGGCAGGGCTGGCCAGGGGCTTGGCAGGGCTCCCACCTCCGGAAAGCCTCCAGCAGCAGCACCACTAATGGATATTGATCCCCAGCCCTGGCATGGGCTCTGACAGCAAAGCTCTTCCTGAAGCTCAACCAGACAAAAATGCATCTTGCTCCAACCACTAGCACTGTGGGAAGTGAAACTCCAGCAAGCAAGCAAGCCCAAGGCCAATGTCTGACCACACTGGGGACCAGCAGAGAGCTTTCCTGTCCCCCAGCACCTGACAGGGCTGATGGTACCCCCAGGCAGCACTGAGGTGACAAGGGACATGACCAAGGTCATGTAGACATACCCTGGATCGATGGGCCCAGCCCTGCACCCTTCCTGGGTGTGGCATCACCTGCTCCCTCTGCTAGGTCAGGGATCATCTGTTGTTTTCAGAGACCCCCCAGTAAACCTGCCCCTTTTGGGGTCTGAAGGAGCAATCCTGCTCCTTCAATTAGGGGCACTGGCAGCTAGCACTTGCAAGAAGGAAGGAAGTAGAAGTTATTAGATATAAATATTATTTTTGAGAAACCATTGCCATCCCAGACATCCCTAGATGAATCAGCAGACAGCAAGAAGCCCAGCACACCATTTCCATTTTAAACCATTAACACAGCCATTCAGCACAGGTTCCCAGGCACACAGGGCTGAGGCTGAACAACCCATGTGAGGCAGCCGCCAAAATGCACGGGAGAGATGAAGCTGCTGGAAAAGGAGCCTCTTTAATGCCCATCACTGCCACGACAGGTCTGAAAGGAGAACCATGCAGCATTTCTCAGCAGGGCGCCAGGCAGGGCTAGGTTTGGAGGGCAGGATGGCTCTGCATCACCTTCGCTAGGCGCAGCCCGCATGCTCTCTGCCACCGCCTGGGTGCATTGCAGCTTGGACCATGGCATATGACATCACTAGGCGTTGCTACGGAAATGAGTGCGAGGTCATCAGCCTCCCGCACAACCGGGGCTGGGGGCTGGGCAGCGCACGGGGAGAACCGGCTGGGACACGGCTGGGACATGGCCGTGGCCGCCGGACCGGCGCTCCCGGGGCAGCGCGGTGCTGAAAGGAAGAACAAAGCTCTGCCTTTTGTTCGCTGCTGAAGGGAGGCGTCAGTCAGCGCTCCCGCTGGGGATCGCTTCCTTACGGCCAAACTACCCGGCAGCTGATAAAAGGCGTTAGCCCGGGTTACTGTTTCACCAGGGCCCGTAAGGAAAAATCACACATAGGAGCTCTTAACAGCACCTGGGCTTCGAGCAGCCAGCCCGGGGAAGCAGGCTAAGAGAAATTCACAGAGCAACGCGGCTGTGAGTCCCGGGCATATCCCTGCTGGCTTTGTCACGGCGGCTGCATTATCCGTAGGAAATGAGCTGTAGGATCTGCTCACACAGCAGGCTTTGCTTTAAAATGAATAGATGCCGCCATCAGAAAATGGTATAAAAGCCATGGTGCAGCAGAGGGACAGCCCGGCTGCGTTAATGTGATAATATCTCGTTCCGATTATCCGTATTTCATTCCTTGATAAGGTATCTCCTCCCTCCCCGGGCTCGGGCTGTGACAGTTTTGTCTGTTTGATAAATGCAAGGTTATTGACAAAATGGTGCAATATGGGCAAACAGAGCTGCACCCACGGCAGACTGCGACATTCCCAGATCGGCATTCACTTTTCATCAGCCGGGGAGGACACCCCAGCTCCCAGCAAAGGTTCAGACCTGACTAAGAAGACAAACATAAAGAACAGTTTTCCCCTTTAAAGCACCCCCTCCCTCCCTCCACCCAGTCTAGCCTCTCTGCAATATGACAAATGCAGAATCTTCTGGAATGACTTGATCCTGCCTCCCACGATTGCTTTGTTTGCAAGATCAGATCAGAGATATGTTTTTTTTTCCCTTCTTATATTGTCAAAATGTCAGTATTGAAGGGGAGCGTTCAGTGTCACAAATCAGATCAGCCTGCTATATGCAGAGTCTTTATTTTAAGAGCGTGAAATGAATACAACATGACTCAATTCATAAATCTCCAACCAAGAGCAGTAAAAATAAAGAGCTTTGACAGTGAAAGGGCTGCCGATCTTTGGGGTCAGGGGCACACACCAGACCACGCGTGGGAAGGGATGCATGGGGAGATATTTCGGCAGCGGGGAGAGATGTGCACGAACCCCCCCTCCCCACACCGGGTCCCCCCCTGCCTCGCCCCCCGGGGCCCCGAGCCGGTGTGACCCCCCCCGGGCAGCCCCGCCTGGCTCCTGCGCCCCGCCACGCTCAGGCAGGGTGGGGAGGGGGCACGGGAGGGGGCCTGGGGCAGGGGGAGAGCAGAAACGCGGCGGGAAGAGGATGTGGGGGGCTGCAGGGCTGCGGAGGCAGCGAGCCCCGAGGCAGAGGGGAGGATGTGGGGGTGCTCCAGGGCAGGGGAGGGGGATGCGTGGGGCTGGCTGGGGGCAGCAGGGCACAGCGCGGGGGTTTGGAGCAGGGGAGAATGGGGGGCGGCTCTAGGGCAGAAAGGGGGATGTGCGCGACTGGGTGGGGGCCCCGGAATAAGGGAGAGGATGCGGAGGGGGTTTTAGGGCAGGAGAGAGCGATGTGTGGGGCTGGATGCGAGCCCCAGAGCAGGCGATACATGTGGAAAGGGGCTGTAGGACGGAGGAGCAGGATGCGTGGGGCTGGGTGGGGGCCCCTCTGCAGGGCAAAGGATGCGTGGGGGGCTGTAGGGCAGGGATGGGGGTCGGGAGAAAGCAAAGTAGCCCTGGATGGGGAAGAGCAGCGGGAACGGGACTCAGCCGGGGGTGCCGGAGGGCGAGGGAGCGGGGCCCTGACACCCCCGCGGCCCCCCCGGCCGAGCCCACCACCCACCGCGGGGAACACGCGGGAAGGGCGAGGGCTGGGCGGCCCCAGCGGGGCAGGAGGAGGAGGAAGGTGCGCGTGTGTCTGTGTGTGTGTGTGCGGGGAGCGCGACGGCCGCGGGACGGGACTCACGTTCTTCATGGCGGCCGCCATGTCGTCGTATCGCTCGGCTTGCTCGGCCAGCCGGGCCTTCTGCACCAGCTGCTCGCGGTCCACCATCTTCGCGGGGTCCTGGGGGGAGAGGGGCGAGGAGGCTGCGGGCTCCGGGAGGAGGAGAAGGAGGAGGAAGGAGGAGAAGGAGGAGGACGAGGAGGGCGCGGCGGTCTCGGCGCTGCTGCGGCTGAGGCGGCGGCGGCGGCTGCGCCCGGTGCTGTGCGCGCGCCGCGGGCCACCACAACCCCCCTGCGCGCGCCCCGCCCCGCCCCGCCCCTCCCCCGCAGCCCTGCCCACCCCCCTGCCCGCGGAGCACGACGGGAGTTGAAGTCCTAAGGATGGGCAAACGGCGCTGAGTTCATTCAGCCCAGCCTTACCTCTCAGAACTACATCTCCCATCGTGCTCCGCGCCAAGGCACCGGCCCCTGGCCCCCCTGGGCCCCGCCTGTGCTGATTCACCGGAGCCCGGCCCGGGTGGGCCGCGGAGGGCGCGGCCGCGCCGGGAGGGCGAGGGGGGGGCCCGGGAGGCGCCGTGGGACGGGCGGCCCTCGGGATGGAGCCGGGGGACAGCGCCGGGCACGGGCCCACGCGGGGCAGGGACACTCCCAGCCTGGTCCCGCTCGCGGCCCGGGAGCCGTTCCAGCATGGACGCGCTCAGGGCGGGGACGCTGCCACGGCCCAGGCACAGCCGCAGGCTGGGCTCGCCACCGAGCGGGCTCAGTCACTGCCCAGGCCCGCTCAGAGCCCGCACACGGCCCGTCCTCACCGTGCCCAGTCATAGCCCAGGGCCATGGAGAACCCACACACAGCCCGTGCCCATGGAGAGCCCACCGAGAGCCCACACACGGCCTGTGCCCACTGAGAGCCCATGGGCCCATGGAGAGCCCACACACAGCCCATGCCCACTCAGAGCCCACACGGCACACACGGCCTGTCCTCACCGTGCCCACTCAAAACCCAGGCCCACCGAGAGCCCACACATGGCACACATGGCCCATGCTCACTCATAATCCAAGCCCACTCAGACCCCACACACAGTCTGTGCCCACTCAGAGCCAGTGGGCACTCACAGCTTGGAGCCACCCACAGTCTGGTCTCAGAGCCTGGAGCCACACACAGCGTGGTCCCACTCATGGCCAGACCCACACAGATTCTGATCATACACCCTGTACCCACCTACTGTCCAAACCCCCTCACAATCCAAGCCCACTCACAACCAGATCCCACTGAAAACCCTGCTCCACTCAAAACCCACTCATAGCCCATGCGCCGTTCCCTCGTGGAGACCCTGCAGTGTTGCTGTGCCTGGGGTCTCTGTGGCACTGCTGGGCCAGGTCATGGTGACAGATCTTGGGGTGATGTCCCCTGCTTTCCCCTGCTCCCTTTTTCCCACCATGGCCAGGTCCTGATCCACAGAGGAGAGCATTCCCACTGGGGATCAACGCTGGACAATGACAGCCACCTTGGGCAGTCACTCATGGATAACCCATGGGATGAAAACGTGTCTGCTCCAGCCATGGGGAGAGCCACTGGGAGTTGTAAGACATCCCACTTTCAAAAAAAATCTATGGATAAAGTGATGCTGAGAGGAGGCTACAGCACTGGGAGGAATGAAAGGGTTTAATGGATCCTGTTTTCCTGAAAACCCTCTGCACAAAGTGGTGCTGAGAGGATGCTGTGGCACTGGGAGAAAGGAAAGGGCTCTGATAAACAGAGTGATCCCACTGGAAGCACTTTATCCTGCTTGGAGAGAGATAAACACCGTATTTCACGTGCCACATGTCCCTGGCCCTTCCCAAAGCCACTGTCCCTGCACAGGTGCTTTGGGATGTGTGGGGATGAGCTCAGCCATCCCCCTGTGCCCTGTGGTTTCCTTCTGAAACCTCACAGGAAGCCTGGGTGGCACTGGGACGTGCCCATGTCCTCAGGGCACTGCTGTGGCTGTCCAGAACCCATGGCCACGGCCTCACCCATAAACAAACTGGTTTGGGAATGCTGCTGGTGGTGAGCAACACCCTTTTGGGCCAAGATTTTATTGTGGGTTTAGCACTGCTCTGCAAAGAACAGAGAACGGCATTGCCTGGATTTGTGCAGCACAAAATCCTCCTTTGTTTACAGCTTCCGAGAGCAGAAGAAATCCCCCCCACTCTGCTAAACAGAAGCAGAAACACGGCCGGATCCTCTCCATTTCCTCTGCAAAAACCAGCGGCCTTCTCCTCCCTCACACCCCGCAGCAGCGCACGTGGCTCGGGGTGAGAACAGCCTTTGTTTGTGCCCAGCCTTTGTTTACTGCCCGGCCATCCCGAGGAGAGATCCCTCAGACAAGGGCAGTTTATTCCTCTGCCCTGATAAAGGCTCATTCACCCTCCCCTGGGGGCTCTGGAGAGCTCCCACTGCACAGCTCTGGGTTGTTTTCAGCCTGGCGCCAGTTTTGGGACAGGGTTTGAGTAAAAAAGTGCAGAATGCAAGAGAATATTAAAGAAGTTAGGTTCCCAAATTATTTTTTCTGCTATTTCTTATCAATAATCTGTAGGTATCTGTGGGGCATCACCTGAGCCAAGCACGCTCAGATCTGTGAATGAACGAGAGAAGATTCCCTGCTCATCCCCTTCTGGGTGATCCCACTGCATTTGGGCTGGATATATGCATCCTCTAACTTGGAAAATAAATAATATTATCCCTTGGGTACAATTCCTGGGTTCTCCTGGACAATATTGAACACAAGCCCAGACCTGAAGAAGTGCTTTTGCACCTGGAAGATCCCCTGATTTCTCCAAATATATCAACAGTCCTAATGAAAACTGTTGCCTCTCCATATAAACCTTTGGAATCTTATCTAGTATTTTCCATAAACCTGGCACATTCTCAGCCAGCCCGACTCTGCTGATTTACAGTGACCCTGTTTTTGCCCCAAAACGAGCAAATACTGATTTATTTCTGTCAGAGCACCAGAGCCATAAATACATTTCCCAACGCAGATGATTTCCTTCCCCATCACAGGTCAGAACAGGATATTCATGATGCTGTAAATTCTTCAGAGTAGCAAATCTGGCTGTAATATTTATCTGCAGTGAATCCAGCCCCCTTTTTTGAGCTCTGATGCATAAATCAACACCCCTCACGACACTTAATTCCTCTCCTGCACAGCCTGGGCAGCAGTGGGGTGAAGGTTTGGTGCTGGATGGTCCAGGTTAGAAGGTTCTGGTGAGCAGCACGGGCAGCTGGAGGTGTTACCTGGCTGGACATCACTAAATCCCCTTTTCCCACCTCTGGTGCCTGCAGACACCCCTCAGTGAGAGGCTGGGGCAGCTGCTGTGTTGGGAAATCACAATGACCCAAAGGATGTGGGTCTGTTCTGCAGATGCCCCAGAAAAACCTAATAACCTGGATTCTGCCTGTGGGATTAAAAATACTTCTCTGCGTTCAGATGTGCCACTTTGTTAATTCCTGTGGCCTGGAAGAAGAGTCTTTCTCTTTGCATTTTCTTGCTTTCCCTGCTACGTCTTGTCAATGCCTTGTGACACCGTGAGGGGAAGCAGGAAATTCTCTGTGACTTGGAGTTTGCTTGGCTGAGCTGCTGACTGCCCTGAAAATGGATCCAGAAATCCTCACTCCTCACTTCCAGCAGGAGAACAACAGTCATGTGCCCCTACTTGTGCCTTCTCCCTCCATGTCTGCCTGCTTGGAGACAGGGAGATGCCCAGGGAAGGAGATGCTCAGGGAAGGAGATGCTCAGGGAAGGGGATGCCCAGGGAAGGGGATGCCCAGCATAGGAGATGCTCAGGGAAGGAGATGCCCAGGGCAGGGGATGCCCAGGGAAGGGGATGCCCAGGGAAGGGGATGCCCAGCATAGGAGATGCCCAGGGAAGGAGATGCTCAGGGAAGGGGATGCCCAGCATAGGAGATGCCCAGGGAAGGGGATGCCCAGCATAGGAGATGCCCAGAGAAGGGGATGCTCAGGGAAGCAGATGCCCAGGGAATGGGATGCTCAGGGAATGGGATGCTCAGGGAAGGAGATGCTCAGGGAAGGAGATGCTCAGGGAAGGGGATGCCCAGGGAAGAAGATGCCCAGCATGGGAGATGCCCAGGGAAGGAGATGTCCAGGGAATGGGATGCCCAGGGAAGGGGATGACCAGGGAAGGAGATGCCCAGGGAAGGAGATGCTCAGGGAAGGAGATTCCCAGGGAAGGGGATGCCCAGCATGGGAGGATGCATGGTGCAGGTGTCCCAGCCTGTCCCCACACCAGGAGTTGTCACCACAGGTACACCAGCACACCTGGCACACCAGCAGTGACCTCACTGCTTGGTGTCTTCAGCTGGTGGGTGGCAAAGCTGTGAAGGCCAGGGGACACAGGGTGGCATTTCCCAGGGCTGGTGTGTGGCTGCCTGTTCCCACCACCCTAGTGCTGTGGCACCCTGGCCCCTTTCCCATCATGCTGCCCTGAGCCTGGCTGTGTGACACAGCAAGGGACACAACTCAGGAGCAGGACAAGGCTGTCCCCTCTTCCCCTGCACCTCCCCAGCCCCTCACAGTGCAGCCTTGGCCCCTCCACCCTGACACAAACCAGAGCTGGGGGGGTTACACCCAACCAAGGACCCCACAACCAACATCTGGGTGAGCTCAGGGTTCACCGACCCTCCCCAAAACACCCCAGAGCCAGAGGCTGCCTCACCTGGGGCAGGAGGGGATGGAGGCTGCTGGGGCTGACGACAGACCCAGGGTGCTTGGCTGGGAGTTTCCTTCCCCCTGCCTGTGGAGCTGCAGCTCTTTGTACCCAGCCCTGGCCTTTCATCTCAGCCTTTCAAAGCACTTTCCAAGCTCAAATTAATTCTGCTGCAGCAGCTGCCCTCCCGTGCTGTTTAGCATAAGCTCTGTCTCCAAGCAGGGCTGCCCCTATTCCTCAGGGCTTCCAGGGATGATTTTCCCTGGCACCACCTCAAGCTGCTGAGATGGGATGGGAGAGCATCACCCTGTGCCTCCCACCCTCCCCTTATTCCCAACACCCACTAAGAACTGCAGCAATGCCCATGCCATGGAAAATCCCCTCTCAGCCTTCCTCCCTGCCCTGGGGAAGATGCTCCCGCATAAAACATGTCCCATGGGAAGCTGGGGTGCTGTCCAGGCTGTCACAACCCACCCTGGGGGCTGGTGGGAAGCTGGAGGGATCTGGGATGCAGGATCCCAGCAGGAAGGTGGGCCTGGAGCAGGCAGGCGTGCTGCCTCCCTG